TCGTTTTGTAAGTGAAATGTCAATCTATAAAGTACTCTGTCCTCTTTACAGATATATATATATATAACAGCAGAGGTTGAACGGATCCACATTTTTTACATGTTTGGTCTGAGCTGCCCTTCAGGCAGACAAAAGTTTACGCTTGTTAGCCTTCTTACAAAACACTCTGAGGTCAGCGGCGGATCGAATTAACAAGTCTAATTTTCGTGGCAGGTGTGGGACGGTCAATTATCACACCGTTTTAGTTATATTATTAAAGGCTTTCCGGGGTAATGACCGCCCACACCTTCCCTTGTCTCATGGTGTAGGATTCTACGGGGATAGGGTTGTCATGAGTTTCAACATCAACAAGCGCAACTTTCATCTGGCCAGTGTATTCTTTAAGGGTATGGCGGGGAATCTTGCACTTTGACCAAAGAGACCAGTTTGTTGTTTGAAAGGCAAGCGTCAGCCTGCTCTAGCACGGTCAAGCCACTCAGAGTGCATGGAGGCAAGAGCTACAGTCCAAGCTCAAACTTGCAAAAGATGCTGACACCTCCCTTGACAATGTTGTGCTTTGCTTGCAGCTGGTTGATTGGAGGGAGATGGCATGCAGGGGTTTTTCAAGGGGTGCAAAGGGATGCAAAGGGAGATGTGCCAAGCTTGACGTGAAGTTCAACCCACATTCCGAAAAGAGGACTCTTGGAACGACCTGGTCTACTTCGAGTATCCGCATCGTAAGGCGACTCACGGCCGAGTCTCGTCCAGTTCGAAGGGTTCTTCGCTTCACCCGGAGTCGATCTCCCGTCCGTTGGATCTCAGAGATCCCGTTTGCGTTTGCTGAGTGGATTAAAACACGATGGGAAGGGAGATCATCCCTCCAGTCGTCCCTCATCAGAAGGTATGACTGTCCCACCTTCTTACGTACTTGGAGCCCTGGGGAATAGGTGTACAGTGCTTTCCACTAAACACCCCCAAGATATATGGGGGATCCTTCAAGATTGGCTCAAAATGCAAGTGAGCAAAACCTCCAGATACGATGTCAATGATCGTGCAAAACCTCCAGATACACACTGTATCACACTGTCCCTTCCACTGCCTTCCACTGCAAGTGAGCTAGTCCAGATACTGTCCCTTCCACTGCCTTCCTCTGGTCTTTCGTCCGGCCACGACCGTTCCTCCGTGCCAAGGACGTGCCGTTGGCCGTCGAGGCGTCCCGCTGCTCCCAGCTGCTGCGAGCCAAGCTAGGTCGGAGCGACGCGACGACCGGTGGTGGACGAGAAACGGCTTCACGGACGAGGGCCAGGGCTGAGACGTAGATATATATATGAAAGGAGCCATTTCTGCTAAGTAGAGTGAGACTGAGACAAGAATCAAGAGGAAGTAAGCTAAGTAAGAGTACATTCTTTGTGGTCGTTGGTTCTACTGTCGCACTGCCACCCTCTTACACCTAATGTTCAGATGATTTGTACACTGGATCCTAGAGAATGTTAATCCCACAAGGGAGGTTAAAGGGAAACGCTTTTAAGGGAAACGCTAAGCCAACAGGTGGGTGGCTTTTGGAGCTAAATATGATGTTGTTTCCCTCGACGAGAAGATACACTGTGAGGCAGTCTTGTTTGACAGATCTCCTCGAAAGTAAGGTATCCCACAAAAACATGTTTGCCAAATGATTGAAACTTGCAATCTCACCCAAAATGGACGTGCGTTGTGTGGGTGAAGAGACGATTGAAATCATGGACTAAATGGGCATATGGACTATGGTTAGCTCTATTCCTTGAGATGACACGTGTGGGAGCGCCACGGTTTGGTGGCGAAGGCTCACGGTTTTGGATAAGCAGACGTGGAAAAACAAAGAGTGGCTCACCAAATCATGGTGAGTGGACAAACACTTGATGTGTCCAATTCTTAGTGGGTTTGGGTGGGCAATGAGATGACATGGAGGTTTGGATATGTATGCATCGAGGCTCTTTTGTCGCACAAGGAAGTGGCTAAGGATTTGGTTGAATATTTCTTCTGCATGTTCAGGGCACGTCAGAGTCAGCCCAATTGGAAATGGGCATGAGCTGATGGCCTAGTCCTCGGATTCCGCACAGGTTCCGGCAAGCAACAGATCTGGCAGTCACCGGCAACCAGACAGCCACGTAGTGGCTTCAGTCAAGCAGAAACCCAAAGCGATCAAGAACATCCAGAAGCAGTGACCAAATCGGATGTTTATATAATACCATATATCCCTGTATATATGGGAGTTGATCGAAAACCCCGTGTAAGGAGTTTTATATAAAACAGCCTTTCAGATGTTGTTAGAACCATCCGCGAAAGATTCGCGATGAGGTTCGCGAAAGTATCTTTTTTTTTCCGCGAAAGATTTATCGAAGGTCACCGCTTTCATTGTTTTCCTTTCTACCGGACTGACAAAGAATAGAACCGCAAGGCAATCCTCCGGCAGAGCCAGTGGGCGGAAGTGTCCCCATATGTCACAGACTAACGAACTGAAGCCTCAACATTTCCGTGCCGAGCCCTGGCAGTGCGTAAAGGATTCTCCGATTCCTGTCCCCACTGTCACAGGCTAGCAATCTGGGTAGGCACAGCCCTGACAGTGAGGCAACGACCTGCAGCTGCTCTGACGGGCTGCGCAGATGTTTGCAAATGTTACGGCTTCCCGGGGAAAGCGCCAGTGAAATTTCGCGAAAGATCCGCGAAAGTTTCGCGAATGTGCCGCTAAAGTCTAGGTTCCCAGCTTGAGGCCCCCCAACATTCCCCAAGCTGTATCACCCTGTGTTGGTAGCTGGCGCGAGGATTGGGTTGAGTTGTGCCTGACTCTATTTGGCACAATTGTCGAACAGATGCTGCAAGTGACCCTGAGTAGCTGTGGAAACGTTCAACCATCTACTGGGGTCATGCTGCAAGATGTCTCTACCTATTTTGTGATACTATGACATGTTCCGGCTCATGTTGGCTAGACATGGTTGTAGGACCATGCTTCGCGATGAGGCCGCGAAAGATCCGCGAAAGATATTTATTTTTCCGCGATGAATGGCCATTCCAGGATGAAAGAATATTGATCAACCACCATATATATATATGTTTTCCTTATACAGTACACCTCCATAATTGATGTTCACAATGTTTTCACTGCTTGGGTCTCAGACCCAGCCTTTCTTCTTCGCGCAAAACCGCCGCTTACTGCGCGCCTGCGCGCGGAACCCTCGCAGGCGCAGCGCCATCCTTGGGTCCAGTCATTGATATGGGGGCTCCGTCTATGGTCACTGCTTGGCTTTTGCGCGAGAAGAAGGCATGGAATGACTGCAAAATAAGATCATATGTGTAAACAAGGTGGTTGGTTGGTTGGTTGGTTGGTTGGTTTATAATGTTGATGAGATTCGTCGATAGAGGGCTGGCAATTGCAAGGGGTGCCTGTAGGAAACTGGAAGAAGAAAGTCCATACCGCGCAATAACGAACCCTTCTGGAAAGCATGATTGGGGCACAAACAAAGCACTGAGACAAGCACTTAGGTGTGGCTCGAAGCCAAGACTCAAGCGCGCACAAACACAAGTTTTGTGATGTTGCTCTCTGCCAATGGATTTTGGGGGGCACATGAGGGGTACCGTATTTGCGAGCCATCCCATGTCAAAGCCGTGGAGCTTGGGGAGGATGAGCTTCTTTGTGTCTTATTTTTACGCCCTGATGGTTGAAGCCTTCAACAGGACCAGTTCAAGGCCAGACTAACACTTGAAGTGAGGATTCCTGGCCGAGCCTGAGAGGTAATCCCGTCCAAAGGACGTGCATGTGCATGTTTGTTTCTCCCCTTATCTCCCTATGACTTGTTTCGCATGCCTTTCACAGCATGCCCCCCTCCTGCCCGGTCACCAGCGGCGCGACGCCCGACGCGTCGCCCGGCTCAAGAAGGTGGTGATCTCTGTGGGCGAAGAAGGCCGCTCGCGGCCCGCGGACGCGGCGACGCGGCCGCGGACGCGGCGATGGATTTGGGTTACCCAGCCCTTGGAGCTTTTGCTCACCACGCTGCGGGAGCTTTTTGGTGACAGAGAAGAGTCCAGGTCGGGGGGCGGGGGGCGGTCATGGTTGAGGGAAAGGGAGAAGAATCACATAGGGAGGAATGGACTCTCATGGTTGAGAGATCTTGGGAAGGACATGGAATGACTAGTCTCATTCTTATTTTGATACAAGCCCCCTTTGGCTTCCTTGGTGGTCAGGCATAGTAAGTTCATTGGTTAGATTAGGCAGGTTGCCTTTCACTTTGACCCACCCACACACGGTATGTGATCAACTAGTGAGACCCAGCATCAACTATAGTGAGACCCAGCCTACCATCGAGCTCCAAGAAAGACCGGCACCCCTAAGACAGGCGGTCTTACTGAGCCTGTCTGAGCCGCCTGTTTTGCTCTGGCGGCTCTGGCTTCTTCACGGTCGAGAGACGGCCGTCTTCCGAGGATACGAGAACCACCGAGTCTCCTCTTCATCGAAGCGGACCAGCTACTGCAACGCGGAGCCCTGCAGCGGACCAGCCATACCCTCCGCTCGGTCCGTGCGCCCGACCGAGCGCCCGACGGAGCGCAGAGTCCGGGGAGTCGTTGCTTCAATCCGTGTGTAGGTCGAGCACACCTGGAGAGGTGGGCAACGGGCAAGATGTTTTGGGCTTTCATTTGACCCTCTTCAGGTTCGAGGTATTTGATGGTGTTTGCGGTTTGGCGATCTCAGCCGAATAAATTCGTTGTTTGTGGGCTTGTGGATATGGGCCGTATTGTGGCTCAAAATCCAACTTCTTTGTGTGTGTGTGTGTGTGTGTGAAGAACGAATAGATTCCCGTGATACGATCCTTCATCCTTCTTTATGTGGGGCTATATATATATATATATGGTGGGCCCCCCCTCCTGTACCTACTCTTTTTGTACTTTTACTGGTATTTGCATCCGTTTATCACTAACTTAGATAAGTATTACATACATTATATATATATATATATACGAGCATTTTGCACAAGTCATCTTGGCATGTTCACATCTTCTGGGAAACAAAATGGCCCTCACATCCTCTAGGTTATAGTTCTACTGTACTACAGTAAGATAAGGATATGCTACCACTACGTCTGGGGAGGTCCTAGGAGGTCCTAGGACCTGCCCAGAACCAAGAACCAAGATTGCAGCAAAAATGTTTGGATAATCTTGGTTCTTGGTTATTGGTTCTGGGCCTTCCCCTTATCAAGAACCAAGATTGTCCAAAGAGTCTTGCTGCAATCTTGGTTCTTGGTTCTTGGCAGGTCCTAGGACCTCCTAGGACCTTCCTTATTAAGTCCTAGGACTTCCTATGACCTGTTGGTGCCAAGATCCTCTGGAAACGTCAGACCTTGTCATTCTAATGTCACAAGATCCGCAAGAAAAACACATGTCTCATAAATATGATTTGGGTGGATCATGTTTAGCCTCAAAGTGTGCATTCCGAGTATCCCCTCAACTCGTCTTGCCTTGCGGCATCGCTTCTTTTCAGTGGTCGGACGTGTCCAACTACAGGGAAACCATGCAACCTTGACTTTGAACTTCCCAGAGGCCACGCCCGAACCTAAAGTCAGAATGTCCAGGCCTACTACAGAGACTTCAGGCCAGGAGCGATGCCGGCACCATCTATGATCATCCGACACGTCAGCCTCTGACAAAGAAATTGCTCACCAATGCTATGGGCAACGTACAACGTATGCTACTGCTACCAGGTGGTGCCAATGGCGGCTGGAGCCAGGAAGCGGAAGAACGCCTAGAAAAGCTTCTCGCCAAGCCTCTTGTCTCAAAGGTGTCCAAGCCATTGCCCATTGAGGATGCAGCACCCTTGGCCATCGAGGATGGCCAGCAGGATGCTGACGATTCTTCTTCTGAGTCATCTTCTGACTCTGACTCTAGCTCAGATCAGTGTATGACGACCGAAGAAGTCGAGAAGGCTATGAAGTACAAGGGTGACCAGAGTGCAAAGGCCAAAGTGGAATTCGAAAGCATCTTCTTTGCTCTCCACCATTGCCAAGAAGAACTGGCAGACGCCAAAAGCCAGATCAAAGAACAGGATGTTGAGATTGCCGTGCTCCAAGGCTTGTTGGAAGAGTCCCGTGCAGTAGCGGCCGGTGATGACGAGGATGATGATGAGATGGGCATGAACTCTGACTGAGCATGCTGCAAAGGACAATCCTGCATGAGTGCATTGTGGTTCCTTGCGTGGCTTCGTGCTGTCCAGTCGTTTGTGACATTCAACTCAATCATATCTGCATGCCAATGGTCTCACCATATCCTGGCGTATGTTAGAATATTCAAAACTAACTCTATGTTTAGCTTGGACACCCCGCTTTGTGTTATGACTTTCTCAAAAAGGTGCTGTCATAAAATACAAAATATTTCAGTAAATTATGAGAGGGGGTGGTGTAAAGTATTGCTCGTCTGACACGCTTGTCTGCAACAATTCTTGCACAGACATAGTCTGCTGGTCCAACTTCTGTCTGTACTGTGGACATTTTCTCTTCAAGTCTTTCTGTTGCCGCACATCTTGGATCTCCTTCACATTTGCCATGGCTGCTGCTGGTCTCCTGGATGATGCGATGACCAAATTCGGAGGCAAGGCTTGGTCCTTCTGCACTGTGGATTCTCCAGCATGCTTCACCAAAAATGAAGATGACATCGAGAAACCCATTACCATCTCCTCATTCATTGGTGCTGTCGGTCGCGGTCAAGAAGGACTCACCGAGACTATGAATATGCTTTTTGACGCGCCTACCTACCAGAGTTCCCATTGAACCAAATAGATGAATGCATGAAGGATAAAGCCCCAATGAAGTTGCCTTGCAGCATCAGGCCAACGAGACCGTTGCCCACTGGATGCCGCTTGGGCCTGGTTGCTTACAACCGACAGGATGGCACAGTCGATGTCCTGAAAGTTCTGCACTTTGAAACACGGGTCCCCAAGGACGAGGCTTTGAGCCTTCGTGCTGGAACTCCCTCTTCGACCAGGTCCATGGGCTCTCAAAAACTCTCTCTTCGGATTGATTGACAGGCTACCTGGCTTCCATGTGGCTTGGTTTGCTCTCAAACCCAATGAGCAGGGAAGGGCGTCCGTCGTTCACAGTCGACTCAATGGGCGCCTGCGATTGAAGAGTTGTGGGCGGGCATTCAGTACATCAATGACAATGCACCAGAGTGTGAGGGAAAAAGAGTGCAGTACATGGCTCCCTTCATGCTTCCGCAAATCTTCCTCATCAACCCCAAATTCCACGTTCATCTTCTCTCAGCATTCGCTTGAACAATTATCAGGGGAAAAACGCTCACCTTCCTGGCCATGCCGCCCTCCAGTCATCTACGCTTCCAGCGTCTGTTAACCTGCACATCACCAACCCAAAGCAACGCACCTAAAAGATGCTAAAAGTAGGTACAACGGGGGGGGTAGCATATATATATATATATGTTACATATATATATATATATATTATATATTATACATATGTATATTAGGTGATCACTCCCCAGCTCCATCCATGTCTTCTCAGAGGTCCCCTCCTCTCCGACTTGGCCGTTTCGGGGGTCATGCTCAGTGACGATGGGAAGGAGGCCCGGGCTGGATGGTCTCAGGTGTCGAGGTACATGAACGTTTGGATCACCAAGCTGAGTTGAGCTCACTTAGGTCAACTTGATGTTGAAATGGAGCCTCAAGCCATCTCAAAAGCCTCAAACGTACCATGTTCCAGCTCCAATGCTCACAATGTGGAAAACACTTGATACCCACTGCAAGTCAAACACCAAGCCTTGCCTGGAAGATACAAGTGGACTCCAGTTCCCACGTGGTCCCATGGGTATTTGCGATTGGACCCCGGATGTGAAGACCCATTTCTTTGTTTGTTTAGTGATGTTTGCAGCTTGCAGGTGCCACACTGGATGCTTCCATCTGTACTTGCACCAGTCCTGGATGCCAAGAACAAGATGAACATCGAGCTTCCTTGCTGGACCATTGGCTGTACGAGCGGCCTGACTGGAGGCGGACTGGCATTGGTGATGATTGTTAAGAGTCTGGGCCGCTTCAGCGGGGTTGGGGATTGTTCGCCGTGTGAGTTGAATTTGGGTGTTTTCAATTCAGGACCCTATGTACTACACCCCTTTCCTATGTTGTTTAACCCATGCAGTAATTATATACCTGTTTTTGCCCCCGCACACTCTAATATATCAACCCCGCGACCCTGTGGCCCTGCAGCGACCCTGTGGCCCAAATCCAGAAATTCGAAACTATATCGCAGGAAGCGAGGGCGAGACCATGGAAGAAGAAAGTCAGGGTAGACTGGGGTGAAGGGATTGGAAGGCAGGAGGCCGGACAATTTGATTGGAGTCTTGGAGAAAAACATGTCTACAGTACAGAAGTTGCGACAAGGTTAAGGTTAATTGATTAATGTTTGTGCTTTGGCGGGGTACCTTCGCCGGTGTTCCTCGACGGGAGACTCAAAGCGTTCCGCTACGTGCTTTTGTGGGGAGGCGCTGCACCCGCCTCTCGGCAAATTCCTCCCGCGCCCCGAAGTCTGCTATTATTAGCAAAGTAGCGTCCTTGCTCCGTTCGTAGCGATGCCTTTTGTTCCTAGTAGCGTCCTTGCTCCTAGGAGCCTTCGATTGTCTACCTCCGGTACCTGCCATGAAGTGTCGGCGTGTGTTTTTGTCGCTGCTCTGTTGCATGTCCGTCCCATCCCAACGTGGCTTCCCTCTAAAGCCGGATGGTAGGCAATAACCAGTTGAAATGCGGTTCAGACTTGCCATAGGCAACAAAGCGCGGACAGCCTTGAGGTGCAATTCGCAAGGGGATGCATTAAGTTGCACCTGAAGAGCGAGTATGGTCAGGTTCCCCAACCTGTAGTGAACCTCAAAAAGGGTTTTGTTGTCGAACTGTGTCGAGTTCCCCGTACACCCTTCGCTGATGTGATAGTTCCTGGTCTCACCGCGGCCCCGGATGTCTAGCCATCGACTCGGAGAGGCACGGGCCGCCCCACGGGGAGGAAAGCACAGCTAACCACATCAAGGTGAAGCTACTAGATGCTACTAGTGGCAAAGGGCATCGCTACTAGGAGCAAGGACGCTACTAGGGGGTCCTGGCCTTACTACTAGGAGCAAGAACGCTACTAGTAACAAGAAGCTACTAGGGTGAATGATGCAGAACTAAATACACCATTGTTTTTAATGACCGTGCGATGTTTTGTTGAGGGCTTGTCGACCTCAATACGTTGAGGTATCCATAGTCTGAAGTATCCATGGTCGCCAGTCGTCAGTCTGAGAAAACGAAGGACGTCCTGAATCCGGCTTCCACCAGTCGTCTCCGCTGTCCGTGGAGTCCATTAAAAAGCACCGATGGACCGGAAGAGGACGGGGGGGCGGTCTCTAGACCCGAGGCAGGCACCACTGTGGACGCCAATGCTGATCTTTCAGAGTTGGTCTGATCTATAGCCCAGACACGACTAATGGGACTGCCATATTTGCCGATCAGTTGGGGTGGTTTCAGGGGTCAATGGAAGTACGGCAGTCCCATTAGTCGTGTCTGGATAGAGGTCTCAGAGTAGATGGCACTGGCGCCCGAAGATGTCTTTTAAAGGGGGGTCCATAATGGTCCATATATCTACTCTGAAACCACTGCCCCTCCTTACTCTTGATGGAAGCAATCCGAAGGATTCCCGGACCGAACTCTTGGACTCGTGTGCCGTACCGTACCAAAATCCATCTCAAGTGCACCAAGAGCTTACGCCATACCATTTCAGAATCCTACCACTCGCATGATGAGAACCCGAAAAGAACAAAAACTGCACGTTCGTTTGGGCCGCGTTTGCACGAGGAACGAGGCGCGCTTGATCCGCCAGACGCTACAGAGTGTGCTCGAGGCCGCGGACCGCGCGGTGATCTTGGACACGGGTTCCACCGACGGGACGCAGGACGCGGAACCGCGGGATTCACCGGACGAAACGGATCCGTTGGATCCGTTGGATCCGTTGGATGGGCGATGTTGGGCGGTTTGGAGAAAGGGGAGAAGACCCAATGGCCCCTTGGAAGGTGGAGGGTGAGTGGGCTGATGTGGATAATTTCGAACGAGCCCATTCATCAGAATGATGCCTTCAGTAGGAACTGTGCCTGGCTGCAGGCGTAGCCCTCAATGTCGAGTTTTGATTTGTGAAGTGGGACTGAATTATTTATATTATGACAGGTTTCCAGATTCCACACAATTATTCGAAGACTTGTTTTGGGGGTCGGAGTGATAAACAACTTATTCTCCCGGAGCCGATTGTTCAAAAGGTGTATTTCTTTTGTGCTTTGCTCAGCTATTGGTTACCTTTGAGATCTTTGCTTAGCCTCTTCTGAGGTAAAACTTGATTCCCGGAACTCTGAACAGAGACCCTTTGTCAAAGCTCTCATTCAACTTCATCGAAATCATTGTCCCAAACACTTTATCAATGGGGTTTAAGTTGTTTTGTAAGATGGAAAAACGCTGAGGTTTGGAGCGCTTGCGAGGGAAACAGCACTCAGTCTGTTGAATTCCCAATAAATTATATAATCAAATAAACCCCTTATCATTGTCATTTCTTTTAATGTTGGTTTCGTTTGAACACGCATGCCAACTGATGGCAACTGAGAGCTGCGCATGCTGCCTACTACTACTACTACTACTACTACGACTACGACTACGACTACGACTACGACTACGACTACGACTACGACTACGACTACGACTACGACCACCACCACCACCACCACCACCACCACCACCACCACCAGGACCACCAAGTCTGAATGCCTGGTTGTGTTTGGGTTATTGTACTCAGGGTGCCTCAATGGTTTGCTGGGGCGGTTGAGATACTGAGGACCTGAGGACGCATTTTGTAATGTACTAGGTCTGACGTGCATCACAGGAGAAAAGGTTTGACTCGTGGAGAAAAGGACTCTTTAAGTCGCTCATAGGGCCATACATTATACGATAGCTGGCAGGGCAAGCCAACCAGCTGGGTAATTATAGAATATTATAGATACATTATACACTGTGACTCGTGACACTGATCTCTCACAGGAGATCCTGCGAGAGGCATGGAAAGGGGCCTGGGGGATGGGCTTGAAACTGTTGGAGTGAAGACTTGGTCGACAATGAGAGGGCCCATGTATAGGCGCAAGAGCTTGCATACCTTATAGACTTTTAGCAGATCAGCATCCTTTCCTGCCGGCGGTCTAGAAGAGTCTAGAATCCACGGTCCATCTCGCCCTTTGGCCTCTCAGGTGCTCCAGACTTCAACAGCTAAGCTGAACTCCCCCGCCTTGGAATCGGTTCCTGAGGTAAGCTCAAGAATAGGCTGTACACGAAGAAATCAATCAACTGCTCGCTGGCTTCAACCCTGCGGATCCACCCTTCTAGTTCTGTGTGAAGGAGCTCTGTCGCGGAAAATCGGCGTTAGATGAGTTGGTCATAGCAGGTTTTTCGATTGAGGTCGTAGATCAAAGTGGTTCTTCCAAACATAATGAGCCTCCAACAGTAAGCTCAACAGAGCAAGGATTTTCCTTTTCTCAGGTTTCCCAACAACAGAACTTCCCGCTGGAACTCTACGAAGAGCCCTTCGTGGACTTCGCAACCACCCGGAACCGTGCGCTGCAGCTGGCGGGGCAAAGCTCTGAGTTTCCTGGCAGCGCATGGAACTGCGCGGGGAACTGACGAGGACATCGTTGGTGGACTTCGATGGTAGGCACAAGCTGCGCAACTCAGTTTGTTGACAACGCCGATGGGAACCACCTAATGGTATAGAATGGTATAGTATTTTTGATTAAGTATAGAGTATAGCCGGATAGCCTCGCTACCAATTGTTTGCTCAGTTGAAGGATTATCATTTCAACGGCCTGCAGAAGTGCAAAGACAACTCAACAACAATGATTCCGCCAGGATTCTAGCTTTGCCAACAACTCCCACAGCTGGGAGTGTTAAGTCAAGTGTTAAGTTAAGCTTCCCAACAAATCTAGGAGTCAAATCAGTGCGAACCTTTCTTCAGGGAAGCTCCCCGCGCCCTCAGGCGGGGGGAGCTTCGTTGAAGAAGCGTGAACTATCCTGCGTCCAGTTACTAGTAGAATGTAGCTAGGGGCTAATTTATCCCTTACTTGATTAAGTAGGCACCTATTTAATTAAGTAGGAGCGGGTTTGACACAATGAAAACATCATCACTCTCATGTGTCCCACAATTCCATCCACTCCATCCACCTCCCAGGTTTGTTTTGATGCTCAGTGGCGATGAGACACTGGTTCACGGCGCCCAGTTGCGGCGCTTCGTCACGCAACACAGTGGCTACTGCGGAGGCTCTGAGGACGTCAAAGCAGTCGAAGCTCTGTGGGGAAGGGCTGAAGGTCCATACTCCAGTATCACCCCAAATCCCGTGGACCCACAGCTATATGTGGGGGTCTAGAACTCCTGGCCGCTGTGCGGGAAGACCATTTCTCACAGACCAGGGGTCCAAATTTGTTTGGACAGTCCATGTTGTCCTGTAGAGTTCGGTCCGAACTGCGCTTTAAACTTAATTCGTTCTTCCGTCCTGTGGGCCGTAGTTGAATGACACAGGACCTGACAGCATGGAAGCTGGGAACATCATTAGATGAAGTAGAACCGTCGAATCCAAGTGTGTTTGGAGTCTTTCTGATCAGCCTGTTTCTACTCCTTCGAATGTGTGCAGCGTTGTTTTCCTATGCCGGTTTGGTGCCTTGGCTGCGGTTCGGAGGTGGTTCGATCCGGGGAGTTGATCAAGCATCAGGGGTTGATCGTGCGCACACGGTCTCCACATGGGTAGCCGTTTTGCTCATAGGGGGGGCCCCAGGGGGTTCTCCCCCTGTTTATTTCCCTTCCAGTCTGCACGGGAAAAATTCTCCCGTTCTACTGAGGTGAGTCCAGATCTGCACGGCTTGTTCGCTTGTTTCATTCTGGCTCAGGCTTTGAGAGTCACCAGCTGGCCGATGCAGCCCTTGGCTTCCAATCCTCACCCCACATTATATATAGTATTATATATATTATATATATATAATGATCAGCAGTAATAGCAGTAAACATTATGAAACCTTTGACTCAATGACTGTAATCAGCAGACTCGGCCACTGCAGTCCTTTCATGAAGACATACGGCAGTGGTGGCCCCACCAATCCTCCCCACACATGTAATATCTATATAGGCAGCTTGACAAGTGAACATCATGCGGTTTCGACCGCTTGAAGGCATGAGTTCTTGAGCAAAGAATACACCCCATGAAGCTTCTCCTTGGGCATCTTTGGATTGGTCCTCACATCTCATGCCTGTCGCGCGTGAACTGTGGTGCTTGGCTTCTGGTGTCGTGCCCGAACGTTCGGGCATGACCAGAGAACGCTGCAGAGATGCCTCCGGTGATGCCATATGTGAAACTTGTTTGCAGGTGAGTTGATAAGCAGGTCTTTCCTACTAGTGGCTTATGGCATGATGCTACCTTCAAGACGCCGTCATTTCAATGCACAACCAGGCAATAAGCAACATGTCGATTCAATCCCAGAGTTGGTTTGTCCATGTCAATGTGTGCATCTAAGTTGCCATGTCGCACTGGCCGCCATGGCTCCCATTTGTCCTGAACATGTCCAGTTTGAGTTCCAGCGCCTGTCTCCCCGGTCTGGACCGCCCGGACCCCCTTGGCTCGTTGGCTCAGGAACCAGTTCACCGGAGATGCCTCGTTCTACCCTCCGCTCCGAAAAAAGGGGCGCAGCGAGCGGAGTGTCACACTCCATCGCCTCATGGTGTCTCCAGAGAACAGGATCGAGGCGCGGTGGCGACGGGTGCGACGGTGCGCTGCGCGATGATGCTTTTGGTGAAGAACACTGGTGGGTTTGTGTATACTGTAGTCAGCTGATCAGATAGACCTGGAAGGAGGAACACTTACTGTAGTGAATTCTAAGGAGGTCTTCCACACAAGCAAAAGAAGTTTCATGATTGACTTTGTAATAGTAGGTGGTGCATGGGGGGTTCGGGGCCTTTGGGGGTTGTGGATCATGGGCATATTGCTTCGTCCCGACTCCATGTCTTTGTTTGAGCAAATTTCAGGACTTGGTTTCTAAATGCCAGAATAAGTAGATATTATATGATATTATGTAGCAAAGATTGTGGACATGAAACATGTCTCTTCTGGGCAGCACTGACAGTTGAAGTCGCGAGTCACAGGTGTTTCTTAGATGGACAACATTTTGTAATTTACAATATAATAATTAGCTTCACAGGATTTTCGAGGAGATGCATATATCAACTGAAATACCGTTGTTGGTCCGGCTTCCTATGTATATGAATGCATGTTTCATTGTATGTTGATAGCTTTACTGTATATAAATAGATGAAGTCTCTGCCTTTTTGTCAACGACGCCGATACACCACGTGGTGCGTTCCAGGACTTGCTGCGCATCGTCTCGGAGAATCGGCCGTTTGACACGGACAACTTGGCCACGGCCATCCACAAACTCGCGAAGTTGAGGTGCGCTGGAGCACCATTCTGCATCTGGTTTTCTGACTGTGCGTCTCGCAGGGAATGAGGGAATGGATCCAATAGAATCTCCATTGGGGGCTCATTCCCTTGTTCCCTGCTAAGCACCAGTCAGGGTTTTTGTTCTTTTTCTTCTCCCGCAGCCAAACATAAAGCTAACAAACCACGCGAGGATTGGAGAGGAAACGGCCTAGCCTGAGAGTCCAGTGCTCATTTGACCCCGAGCTGGTGGTGGTGGATTAGGACTCCCGGGTGGAGTAAAATGAGTCACTGGAAGTTCTGGGATCAGTATGTGAAAACGGTGCATGTCTTCGGAAAGGAAACCCATTGTCAAAAGTCACTGTCATCTTCGACTCACTGTCTTCTGCAACATCTGGGAACCGATCCAGACCCATTCCCCCAAGATGGTCAACATGGTGCGTGTCATTCCTCTTTCTGATGAGTTGACCCGGTCCCTTTTCCTCTCTTTTCCTCAGTCCGGGCTACGTCGGCTTGCTTTGGCCCGTCGCGGACCGATGTCACCCACCTGTTGCTGCCAGACCGGTCTCACGAGACGCTCCATTCGTGTGCCGTTGTTTCCACCGGGAAGAGCTGGGCAGAGCGGTGAAGTGATTTTTTGGTCCACTTGTCCAAGCTTCTTCAATTCAACAGCTAGGGAAAGACCGTGACCGGACGACTGGGACGACTTCAAGAGTGAGCTATCCCAAAGTATGCTCAATTATTACAACCATCTCCATCTGTGCCATTTCCCATGTTTAACCTCATGCTTATATATGTTTATTACTTCTTATGTAATTCGGTTTGTGGCAAGTGAACCAAGCTGGGCCTGGCGACCGCTTCGAGCCAAGACCTTCCCTGACGCCGTCGCCTTCGCAGTCACCGGCGGTCGAGGCGAAATCAGAACGTGCCATATGAAGTCATCACGGAGGACTGCCCAGGGGCATCCGGCCTGTTTTTGAGGCGATGGGCTATGAGATGCTATGAGGGACGGTATACTCTTCTTCGGTTTGCAGCTGCTGTGAAGGCTGCTGTTGGGGTCACTGGTGTTCTCTTGTTCCTTGCTGTTTTCAGCGCTCTTCCTTGTTGCCCAGTCTGGACTCTTCAGACCTGAGATGCTTTGAGGTCCGGTTCAGGGCGAAGCCTTCATGCCCATCCGAAAGCCGTGACTGCCCAGATGTGAGGTGTTGATCACATGGGCAATGCATTGGGCAATGCATATGGCAACAGCCGGGCACGCAGGCATTGGAGGTCGTTTGCTGGGAGCTTGAGTCCCCCGGTGCTGCAGGATCCAAGATGGATGATGTTGATTCAGCAGGTTGTTGAGAACGGCACTGTGCCTTAGAGCCAACAGGATGGGTCTGAGAAGGAGGGTGGACAAATATGTCAACCATCAACATGCTTCACAGCATGGAGGATCACAGAAGAACACAGAAGAACAAAAAACATATTGCTGGTTCGCCCTCCCAGAATTATCCTTTCTTTTGCTTTGATCACTGGATCACAGGATGTATTGTGGAGCAAGATCGAGCAACCCAAAGTCATTTAGACAAGTATGTGTGCATCTTCAGCAGGGTCGGATTCTTCCGACGTGATACTTGTTTCCAAACGAGTTTGATCGAGGCAACATCATTTGATAATGGATGAACAGCTGCAGTTAAATTGATTTCACCTCTCAGTCAGAGTCAAGCATTGAGTATAACTTTTCTGCAAGTCTTGTAGCTCCCAGCCCAGCTTTTTAGTCAAATAGGCGTTGGTTCGGGGTTCATTCTGATCCGTAAGTGCAGTGAGTGTTCGCATAGTGTGCGCCGTTTTTTGGCCACTTGTTGGTTGATGTTTGTTGATTGTGAGATGTTCCTGAGGCTGTAGTGTCCAGCAATCCAGGAAAATATGGGTGATCCCCCTACGACTCGGTGTTTCTTCCCTTAGAGAGTCGTGTGTTGGAACGAGGGTCGTGTTCAACAAACCCGCTTAGCAAATGCCTTCAGATTCAAGAGCTCTAGCGGAGTGGTATTTTTTAATATCCATCAATGAAGGCATAGGTATCAAAAAAAAAATAAAAAGAGCATCAACAAAAAAATAAAAACAGGATAAAAATAAAAATAAAAAGCGAATCAAAAAATAAATATTCCTTGATAGGCCTCTTCTGCTGCTCTCCTGGCCTTGTGGTCTGCGGGTCCTCTGGTAATGTGGTCCCTTGGTCCTTTGGTCCCTTGGTCCTCTGGTCCACTGGTCCTTTGGTCCCCTGGTCCCTTGGTCCTTTAGTCCACTGGTCCCCTAGTCCTCCGGTCTCCTGGTCCTCTGGTCCTGTGGTCCGCTGGTCCCCTGGTATCCTAGTCCTTCTGTCTCCTGGTCCGCTGGTCTTTTGCTCTCCTACGGCGCTCGTCTGTCGATCTCCTGGTCCCCTGCTTGCGCAAATAGAGGCTTGATTGCTTTCTACTAGAGGCAGCTCCCTGGGAAGAAAGTAGGTACCCAACGATAAGGTCGCCGTCCAGTCATTGAGTAGCCCTACTCGAAAAATGGTTCACCAGTGGAAATAGCTCCCTACTAGGAGGGAGCTCCTGGGGAGGTACACTCTCCTAGGGAGGGGTATTTATTTTTGGATTTTTTTTGTTTCTTTTTTTGATTTTTGTTTGTTTTTCGTGGCTTCTGGCTTCTGGCTTCTGTGGCTTCTGGCTTTTGTGGCGTTTGGCTTCTGTGGCTTCTGGCTTTTGTGGCTTTTGGCTTTCGTGGCTTTCGTGGCTTCTGTGGCTTTTGGCTTTTTGGCCTATCCATCTATCTGTCTATACCTATCTATTTATCTATCTATCTTTCTTTCTTTCTTTTGG